ACCTGGAAGTTTATACTTACATAATTTTGTTTTTCTTCCTTTGTTTGCTTTTATGCACTCTATATAAATAGTGTTAGTAAGGCTTTGACAAGGTGTCCCACATAGGAATGTTGTATCCTTTGACCTAGTAATATGTCTTACCTTACTCCAAGTCACATCCTTTGGCCTAGTAAATATGTCTTAGCTTACTTTGGGGTTAGATTTAATAAGCTGTTTCAGCCTTCCTGATACCTTCTAGATATGCAAATTCAGTGCGCAGCTCTTAGCCGACGTGCCTCAAGTCCTAATACATCTGGATGGCGCTAATTTGTGGAAGACTATATTATTTGTCCACCTAGTACAAATAATTCACTTAACCACAGCAGCCAGTTTAGAATTTATTGGTTCTTCTTTTCAAACAGAGTTTAAAAATTAAACTAGCTGGCCATGACCAGGGGCATAAGAAATATATTTGAAATGAAATGGTGCATCACTTAGAAAGGAAGCAATTATCCTTTTCCTTTCCAAAAGCATCACATTTGTTTCTCTGAAATTGGTTTTTATAGTTAGAAGAAATGCAGTAGAAAGTATCATGCAGTGGGTGTCTAGTTACCTAGAGACTGTCAGTAGCTCATATTTTGTGAAGCAATTTAATTTTTTGTTATGATGACTCCTTTTCCAATCATTTTAATATATTTCCAATCATTTTAATATACCTAATTAGGGTCTTACATTGTGAGTTATTGCTAATGGGGATGTGCTGAAATATGGGGGGAGGGAACAGCCATATTTCTGTTCCCTACTTGTCCCCCCCCCCCCAAATTCTATATGTCCAGGCATGCAGTATTCTGACCACAGAGCTTTAGAAAAAGGGAGCCACTGACTCTGTATCCACCTTTTTAGTACACTGTAATTGGAATATTTACCATTGGCATACTGGAAAGAAGGAACCAGTGGGAAGGAAGGTAGCAATATTACAAGGATTTTACCTCCATTACCACCACTATCATAATTCTCTCAGATTTTAATTTCCTGATTCCATAGACCAGCCAGTCAAAAAAGGATGAACAAAAAGTCTATGTATAGCCTTCAGAGAAAGATAGGTGGCTCCAAGTCACATTAGATTCTGGGGAGCCTCTGAATAGAACCTCGTAAGATTGCCTTTTTAAATTGTGAAGTGCTCTCCAGCATTTGTATTCACAGTAACCAGGTACAAAAAATAATTATTTTACAAGAATCAAGGCTGGGAGGACATCCAAGTGAAGAGAAGAACTAAACCCAATCATCGGAATCTCAAATTAGGTCAACAGAATATGCTAGTGAGGGTTATTATGTTAATAGTAACATAGCAAAACTATCTATCGGGCAACAGACAAATTACTGTCTGGACATCCACGCTCCCAGAAATGAACATCTTCTTTAGATCCAATCTAGATTTAAAATCTTAAAATCAATTTAATAATCCCACTAGATGTACCTTACTTGTGTCAATTTCTTTGATTTGCAATATATTGTTTTGTGAGTGACCTGATGGCAACTTTTGTGTAAATTTTCATTTTTGTGAAAAAAAATTGTCCAAATTTTCATCATCACTACATGAATTATATAATATCATTGCATGAATTACATAAACATAATTATAGTACAAGAATTACATAAACATCATTACATGAATTACATAAAGCAGTGGGGATGGTATATTGTAATTTATTTAATAGACATTCAGGAAGAATGGGCACCCCTTTTACACAAAAAAGCTTCACTTTGTCTGTATTACACACACTATTTCATTTTCTCAGTACAGTTAAGTCCTGTTCTTTATATAAACTAAAATAAGTTATGCATAGGAACTGTGCTTTCACAGTACTTTTACCTCAGAATTCCTTCTTTCTTGATGGTTTCTTTACTGAACTAAACTTATGATCTCTTAACTCTGACTCGAAAGTGTTTCTGAGAGATGTAGAGTTGAGACAATTAACAGTATCCAGCTCATATTTTCAATATTCAGCAAGAATGGTTGAGAACTTTGCTTCTCGTCAGTTAGACTTTTAAAAAAAAAATTTTTTTGAGCCATTGTCAACATTAATGGAAATCCAGGATATAAATATTTCTAACCATATTGGTTGAGCTGAGGTTGCATTATTGACACAATTTAATATTAATGTTCACTACGCATATTTTATTGATTTCCATTAGCATTAACAGTATGTATTATTAAACAAACTTTTAGGCATAGGCTTTAAATCAACTTTCCCCAATTTGATGCTGTTCAATTACCATCATCTTCAATCTGCCCAACCAGAGGCTAGCAGGTTGAGGAAGACTAATTTAAATTGACCTCAACTATTAAAGGCTGAAAGTAAAGATAATATGATATTTATGTCATCATCAGCTCCTGGTCAATTCAGGCACAAGCTTAGTAGTTTTCTTGGTGGTGGTGTTTGCTGTTGCTTTCATCCACAATAATTTTTATATTATTATTTTTTAATGTCCAGATATAACTCTGGGGTTCCTGGTGGTCTCCTATCCAAGATTAGTATTATTTCCCCATATGGTTTAATAGGAAGTAGTCAGATCTTGGGAAAGGTCCGCATTGGGGTATTTGGTGCGACAAAACATTACAATTGCAGGTAGGCCTTCACTTATATAACCATTTGTTTAGTGACCATTTGAAGTTACAACACTCAAAAAGTGACTTAAAACCATCACAGTATCCCCATGATAAAAATTCGGGTATCTGACAATCAACACGTATTTACAATGGTTGCAGCCTCCTGGAGTCATGGGGTCACCATTTGCAATCTTCCCAGCTGACTTCCAACAAGCAAAGTCAGTGGGGGAAGCCATAATAATTTAAAAACCACATGATTCCCTTAACTACAATGATTCAATCATGACAAATAGGTTGTAAAATTGGATGTGACTCACTTACCCATCTTGGTTAGTAACCAAAACTCTAGTCTCAATTGTGGTTGTACCTCAAGAATTGCCTGTATGTGACAGCTTGTTTTATCTCCACCCTGCTGATTGTGTTGCATAAGTGAGATTGTAACTACTTTGCTAGAGCATGATCTCATAATATTTGTTTAAATATCAAGCATTTAAATTAATTGTTGAAAATAATGAAATTATTCCTGTCTTTTTTATATTTTTTATATTTTTATATTAGTCATTTATCTTTTATCTCAGTAAAGAATTAACATAATCCCCACAGGTATCGGCTAGGATGAATAAACTTTGAAAGAAGCATAACATAACTGTTGGTTGGTAGATAAACTTTCTCAAATTGCAAAAGTGTGTGTGTGTCCTGTCTGATTAATAAATTCCCAATGTAGCTTAACCACAAGAACATATTTCAGGTGAAGAATTTCTACTTGATTTTGTGTGTGTGTGGTATATATATTGTAGTGGTTAAAGCACTGCCTTTGATATGCAAAACCAGGATTAACATCCTGGCTGGTACTTATCTAACCAGTAAGAGTCCTTGGACAAAGTTCCCCTAATGTTTCACTTGCCTATGTCAAATGTAAAAGTGACATGAACTAGCAGAGTCATGCCAGCTTGGACTTCACCCAGATTAACAGGTTCATGTCAGATTTGGGGGAAGCAGGACAATCTGACAACAAGTGGGCTACTGGAACAAACCATATATAAAAAGATTAGAGAACCTAGAATTGATGGAATGCTACTACAACAGAAGACTTCATGAGTAAGGATATATAAATAAGGGTGGATACATGATACATGAATAGGCATGAGTTTGCTTGACTCATAACCAGACAGAAGTTATATCAGCTGTTAAGATTGAGAACTATCATTCATACAGTGCATAGATCCAGTTGTTTTCATTTTGATAAAAGATGCCAACATTTATTTTGAAAAATCCAGAATTTCTTTGATAAACAAGAACTGGACTCAATGCCTCATGAAATAAGTCACACTCTGGACTTAACTTCCTGTACTAAATGAAATGGAAATGATTTATAATTGGAGAAGGCTTTTATCACTTCTATTATGGATGTATTACTAACAGCTTAAGATGTTCTCATTCTTTTAGTTTTCTAAGTGGCTTGTGATGTCATTGATGTCATAATATGTAGGCCATTATTTGCATTGTTTTGCAGGTTAGTTAAGATCCCAGAGGGTCCTTCTTAAATGAGGGCATTACTGAATTGGAAGATGGTAAAACATAGCTGAAATGGAGAGGCTGAAAGCAAGGACGTCTGATACAAAACTCTTTCCTAGATGTAGATCATGCTTTCCTTGTATTTCAAGAACAACATACTAAGACTCCTGGATATGGCATTATTTCAGCATTCCCAGTAACAGCATCCTTGGCTTAATAATTTGTTTTTCCAGCTTCATTGTTCATTATTTTTTAAACATTTTAGATCAGTTGCTTTTAAAGACTGAAAAAAGGAAAGGCTGATTCCTGCAAGTTTGAAGTACCTCTTATGAATAATGCTGGAAACTGCTGTATGCCCGAATGTGTTGGGAAGTAATGAACTAGTTATTTTTTTTAAATGTAGTATACTAGAAAACAAGAAACTGCTTTATATTTGAAAGCAAAAAAAGCTCTTTGGAGCTACAAGGATTTGAATGTGGCATTTGTGTGCAACTTATAAAATAGCCACATATTTTCCTAGATTATGTGGCTATTTCCTCCTACAATCGCCATGGCACCCCGACAAAAAAGTCATTTGGTTTAAGAAATTGCAGGTCAATATGTATTCATGTTCTGTGCTCCAACATTCCTTTTTGGCCTTAAACCGAAAGCACCACATAACCAGATTGTATTGCACTGGTTATATTTATATTATCGTACACGTGTTATGGATTTAAATTTTGCGGGCTGTTTTTCCTCAGTCGAGTACAGTTTTAGCAACATACTTTTCATATTGCACATTTGTTCATATTACTTCATTTGAAGAAATTTTTGTTACAAAAGAATGAGTGGCTAATATTTAGTTAATTACTATTTCAGAAAGTCGTCATTTACACATTTTCTTCTTGTATTCCAGCTTCTTGTAAATGTTGGTTAATAGCACAACGGGCAGAACTTTGTACAGCTATGAAGAATTATCAAAAAGCTCTTAATGACGCAGAAATACTATGTCAGAATAAACCCCATTGGCCTAAGGTACAGTATCTGTTTGTAAGTTGGCAGTTAAGAAAAAAAATCAAAATATCTCTTTGCATATAAGAAACCTGGAATTGTTTCTCATGTATAATTTAAATCTCTTCAATGAGGGTTTCTAGCTTGGTGCCTTAACCATTACACAATACTGGCTTTTTAATAGCTGCTCTCAATTCTTTAGGTATACATACCGTCTCTAAATATATGTAAGAGACATGAAATAATATTCAAAATAATTGCAGTATTACTTGTTATTCCCTTCTCTATTTTTTTAAGTGTGCAAGGCCTAGTTGTTTGACTTAGACGCATTTCCCACACTTAAACGTATCATGTGGAATTAAAATGTGCACCCATCATTGTTTCCCTTTGCACTTTTGTTTTTTATGTTCGTTTTCTGTTCTGTTTTGAAATACCATCTTGCCCGAAAGAGGTAAAGGCACTTTAGCCAATATTTCTTGAAATCACAAAGCTTAAACTCCTTATCTCCTCCCTCCCTTCTTTCTTTCTCTGCATGCAGGGTCATTATGTCAAAGCACAAGCTCTTTCTGGATTAGGAAGGATTGAAGAAGCATTGAAGGAATTTCTTTATTGTGTTGCCTTAAATCCTGAGTGGAACTCAATGAAGATGGAAGCCCAAAAGGTATAATATTATACTTTTAATCTATAAGCAAAGCATGACGCTTTTATGTACTTAGTTTTTAGCCTGTACTGCTATGTAATCTGACCCATGTAAAATAGAAGTTGTAAGTGAAGCATTAATTGTTTGATTATTCAGTTTTTTTATTCTGCTTTTTGCTCACTGGAAGCCAGTGATTGGCTAAATGAAAATCAAAGGTATTGGGTAAACAAAACATTAGGGTGATTTCTTAAAATATCAAAACAATATTTAACACAGTAGCATGAAAATTATAATTAATATAATTTATTCTAACTGGTGGCTGGTTGACTTTGAGTCAGTCACTTTTTCTCAACTCACCCCATCCCATTTATGAGTGATTCATAAAAATAATAAAGGCATGATAAAAAATAAATAAGCAAATAAAGTAGCCAGTGAATTAGATACTCATAATCTGCATCTGTCAGGCTTCAAGCATCATTCAACCATGAATGAACTTCCAACTAGGAAGTATCATGACATTTGAAATGATCCTACATTTAGTGGTCTTGTTTTCATTTTTCTTAGTGGGATAGAAGAGAAGATAACAGTTTGGCACATGATTGCATATAAATGCAGAATTCTGGACAAGTAAATGAAATAGGAAACAGATAATTTGTATGAGCTGAATTTTATGATATTTCTATTTTTTTTAATCTAGATAATGTGTGAGATGTTTTTTCCAGCATTTGAAAATGTTCCTGATAGTTTAACAACACCTTTTTGTAATCGGACCTCTTACACAAGATTGAAACCTGCATTTCTAAGTAGCATAAATACACAGTCTTCTAGTGAAGATGGGCCAGTAGCAGAGAGCTCAAAGGTACTTTACACATGAGTCTGTTCTTTATTCAGGGTATTATATATGGCATTATATTCAGCATTATATTCAGAAATGTACAGTTATTTATTTTGGTTTTAGTTTAGTTTGGGAAGGACATTATAGCTTCCCAAAGAAAACTGATTAATAATGGAGTAGAATGGAATGGAAACTAAAAATATTAAAATTACCAAAGTGGATGTATTATATAAAAATGATTATGATTCAATATAAGTTAAAATTTGCATATTTGGAGAGTTATTTTTAAAAGCAAACATTAGCTATGGGCAGTAGGTTCTAGTTGCAACCATGGAAGCTAGTCTGCCTTCTCCCTATATTATACATTTCTGAAATCTCATGGATGTTTGACAACATTTAAGGTTTTGGTGGGTTTTGAAGTGAGTACCTCCTCGGCCGTCATAACTCCTAATTTAAGTACATACTTGGTAACTATGCTTTATGTTGATAATTCTAAAAAACCTGTATTAAAATACAATACATCCTTTTGTGTTCAAGTAAAGTATGCAGAGAAAGCTTTACCTGAGCAGCTGATTCTAAAATATCCATATAGTCAAGTCCATATTATTTATTATTATTTGTTATATATAAATAATAGAGTTGACAGAAGCAGTCCCAGCAGAAGTCATATAACAGGTTGCCAAACTGTTAATTCTCAATCATGACTATGATCAACAAAGATATGTCTATAGAAGACACATTTTTGTCTTTATGTATTTATATATAAACAAATGTATTTATTTTAGGAGACCATGTTGAGGTTAACAAGAAATCCTTCCCAAGAGAATGATGTCTATCGCTGTATTAATTCTTCAATTTCCCATCATGATTTCTACTTTGAAGAGAACAAGAAAACATTAGGGAAAGTCCTATCCAGCCTACCCAGTGCAAACTTGAAAAGAAAATTTTCTACTGATGGGGAAGACTTACAGAATCTGGATGTCCCTAGCAAAATCCATAGAAAAGGTCTGTTGCAGTCGCTTAACTAAACTGAATAAGTTAATTTGCTCAGTATTTTGGGAAATAAAAAAAAACAATCATTTCAACAATCAGTAATAACAATATGTTATAACTTTACATTAAATGAAAATGAATATAATGTGACATTAGTTATACTTGCAATTGTAAAGAATAAAACAAGTTATAATGATTAGATAGACTAGAATATAAAAAACTGGAATTTGCAATGCAAAAATATTAATCAAATTGAACAAAATACACAAGGTGTGGTCCGGGTTGTCTTTGCTCTAAATAGCAGATTTCTTATACAAGGGAATAGTTGTGGTATTTTTTCACCATAGAATAAGATGAACCTTTCCAGTTGCATGTCTGGAATCTCTCTTTCAATTTTTCAGAACAAAAGTTGAATTGATAATTTGTACTCATTTTAATTCTTTAGAAATGCAGTGTTCAGTCCTATGTTCCTGTCTGATAATTTTAGAACTTACTAGAAATTGTTAGTTTTTGGTACATTCTCCTCTTCCTTTTTTGATATTTTGAATTATCTAATGAGGTCATTCAGAAAAGGATCATATTTATTTATTTCAAATGTTCTTTTTTATTTTAAGATGGAGATGCTACTTGTGGAAACTCAGCTTCTCTTCCCATAAAAGAGATTCCTACAAATCTCATGGATGCATCTGACTTTGAGTGTTCCCTTTGTATGAGGTATTAACAAGCTGCACAAAATGTCTTATTCCATAGGATTTAAATTTCAGCAGCACTTGCGTGTATCTTACGTCTGTGAACTTAGAAGCATAAGTAGACTGAAGCTGGATTTATCATCACACAAATGCCGTGATTTATGTTCTTATGTCAGACATCATGACATAAGTGTATAAGTCACAGTATCCATGTGACGACACATTACAGTCATATAATTTTGATACTGTAATTTTCTTACAGGCACTGTTTATCTAGCTTAATACTTAGATGGAAAACAACCAAACAATTCCATTCCAGAAAAAGCAAATGTCCATTATTTTGCACGGAAATTACATACGTGTGTGTGCATGTTTGTGTGTGTTTGTGAATCCATCAAATTACAGCAAAATAAGCTTCTGTGCTGTTCATATTTTATGTTGCTTTTGATATTGTTATTGATACTTGATTTTGATAATTATTTCTCGGTGCATTATGTTAAAAATTTTTGCTTGATGAACATTTTATAATTCTGTTAAATTGTAATGGAAGCTGCTGTGAGTACTGAACAGATACACAGTATGCTAACTTATTAAATAAGAAATGATTAATATATTTTCAGCTCATTAATTTTATAGTAAGATTTCATCATTTCTCCTCCATAATTGTGCTCAGAAACAGTTTTTGAAAGTGAATGAAAGAGTTCTATGTCATAACTTCAGAAATAAGCTCTTCTTTAGAAAGAATGGGCTAATTGTGTGGTGGATGCATGATAATACACCATACTGTATATTTCAACAGCAATTATGTACATGTGGTATTATGCAAAATCTGTGCTCTTGTGCAAAATGCTTTTAAATCAAGTTAAATCAAGTATTATTGCTGAAATAATAATAATAAACAGTGCAGAATTTAGAATTCACGACAGTTTCAATGTAAAATATTTCACACACTCGTTCAAGATATGCAGATGAATGGATATATGAAATTGTTATTTTCATGTCTTGTTCAGGTTATTCTATGAGCCTGTCACTACTCCTTGTGGACATACGTTCTGCCTCAAATGCCTTGAACGTTGTTTGGATCATAATCCTCACTGTCCGCTTTGTAAAGAAAAGCTCTCAGATGTAAGTCTTCCCCATCCATTTCCAGAAGCTGCTTAAATGAAAGGCTTGTGTTTCTTGAACCTTTAAGGGCCCATTTACCCCCTTAAACCATCTCCAAAAAGGGGAGAACTGACCTGATTTTCGGAGAGGGCTTCAGGGTGTGTTTTTTTTTCCTAAAGGGTGCAGTACAAAAGTTCAGTTACCCCATTTAATGCTTGAAAATAAAAGTTCCACATGAAAATTACAACCCTGCCAATTCTGATGTCCTGAAATGAAGAGGGAAGGAAAAAATGTGACTCACCCTAATACAGATAGGTAGTATTTAAATATGTGTGATGTTTGACTTGTCTTGCCAAACAAGAAGGAAAAAAGTAGCTTTCTTTTGCATCACCTTAATATATAACAGTATTTCTCAACCTTGGGCATTTGATGTGTGAACTTCCAATTCCCAGAATTCCCTAGCCAGCTAGAGAATTCCAGGAGTTGAAGTCTACATATCTTCAAGTGTCCAAGGATGGGAAATACTGCAATATATTTCAGAGTTATTTTCTGAAGAAGCAGTGTAGAATAATTAAATGGCCACTCTTAAGTTCTTATTATAGCCACTTAAAACCATAACCAGGAAATTGCTAATTAAGGTAGTGATTTAGTAGTTGTGGTTTTAAGTGTCTGACTGTAGTATTCTGTGCAAATTCCTGATTCCATTCTAAGGTGTTAGAACATAAAAACATATACTTTACCATTCTCTTCTCCAGGCCACTTTAATTACTAAATAGTAGAATAGCTAGAACTGAATAACGTGGAGTCTTGAATTCCCTTTATAGTTTTTGGCAAGTCGAACTTACAAAAAGACTATCCTTACTGAAGAATTAATAGTTCGCTACTTTCCAGAAGAATTATCTGAAAGGAAAAAGGTTTATGAAGAAGAAATGAAGGAATTATCAAAGTAAGTTATCTTCATTTACAAAGAGAATATTAGTAAAATTAAGTGGGTTGATTAAATAATTTGTTTATATTTTCATAATATTTATAATTCTCTGATCTTCAGACAAAAAATATTTTATTTTAGCATGCTGGTATGGTATATGTGAAAAGACATTTTTACATTAATGTGTCAGTTCTTACTTTTTCATTTTCATAGAAAGTTTGATTAGGAAACCAGCACCTTATTAACATTTGGAAACCAAGTTTTTGTTTGGCACAAACTTTGCTTAGCCTTTATGAAAAGGTAGCAGTCTTAATCCCCTTTATATAATCAATATACATGTGTGGATCATGGATATATGTGCTCTGCACATGAATTGGAACATAATCAAGTTGAAGCAAAAGTCTCTGAATGAGACTTTTACAGAAATGCCATAAGTATATTCTGACATTTGCTCCAAAAACTGGAGGACCGCATAATAAGTTTCTGTAACAGATAAAGTTATTGTTTGGACAAACAGTCCACAACCTTTCCACCTTGGTGGCCCAGCTGGAGCAGGCAGGGAGTGTGAGTGGCAGGCCCATGCGTGCATGCACAGCTCTGGTGCAAGTAGCAGGCATGCACGCATTCTTTGCTCAAATGGAGCTTTGCATGTGAGCAGAGAGCGTTTGTGTGAGTGTCCAAAGCTCCACTTGCATGAGCAGAGAGTGCTTGAGTAGAGAGTGTTTGTACTTGTGCGCAAAGCTCCAGTTGCACAAGCGGAGAGTGCTCGTGCATAAAGTTCCATTTGCACAAACGAAGTTTTGCATGTGTGTGCCCTCCACTCACACGAGTAGAGCTTCTTGTGCAAGCACAAACACTGTCCACTCAAGTGCCCTCCGCTTGTGCAAGTGGAGCTTCTCATGCGTGCTTGCCTATCACTGGTACAGCCTGGTTTTGAACCGGGGATTGGGAACCCCTGGTTTGGAGGATAAATATGCAAGATTATATGTAACTGCTGGTTATCTTGTACAAAGAAAGCCTTTTTAAAAGAATAAAATTGATAGAACCGAGTTCTTATAGGACCAGATTGTTGTTCATTTTATTGAGAATCCCATTTTGTCCCCTGTATGTATACAGTCAGATGTGTTTCTTGCTACACCTGATTTTAGTTGTGTAGTTTTTTGAAAAAATAATTATGTAACAAGCAGGCATGCTATAGAATGAAACATCAATTTTCCCACAAGCAATGATACCAGTTTTATGAGAACTGTAGCATGTTCTAAGTTTCCAATTTGCCCGCTAGTCACAAAATTTTGCCAAGTTCTCTCTCGTGTGTGTGTGTGTGTGTGTGTGTGTGTATACATACATACATACATACATACATACATACATACATACATACATACATACATACATGGTATTCAGCTTTGTTCAGGTATTTTCCCACATCATTATAGTTGTGCTTTTAAAGTTGTAGCAACGTTTCGGCAGAATCTCATCTGCCATCATCAGGCTTCTGTATGGTGTTCGTCACCTGATGATGGCAGATGAGATTCTGCTGAAACGTTGCTACAACTTTAAAAGCACAACTATAATGACGTGGGAAAATACCTGAACAAAGCTGAATACCATACATGTAAGTACCCGCGAAAACTTAAGAAAACACACACACAAACACACACACACACATATATGATAGCCTTTTGCCTTAAGCATGTAATGTACAGTTTGAAATATTTTAGCTGAGCATGGTCTTTGCTATGTTTAGATAGTCTTGTCTTGTATTTGTTAGTAACGAGAGATTCAGGAAAGCTGAGTGAAAACACTAATTCAATTAAGCTTATTTGATAAGTAGTTTCAAACATGGATTTCAATTATTTGTTTTAACAGATTTCGACCTGCATAACCATAAAAGTAAATCTTCCTTTTCTTGCAGTCTAAATAAAGATGTTCCCATTTTTGTATGTACCATGGCTTTCCCTACCATTCCTTGTCCTCTTCATGTCTTTGAGCCCCGTTATCGATTAATGATAAGAAGATGCATGGAAACAGGCACTAAACAATTCGGCATGTGTTTAACTGATGAACTGAAAGGGTAAGCTAAGGATTTAGAACTCCTTTATAAAATACTGCATTTCTGTGTGCAAAAATGGTAGAAGGGCTTATGTCCATCAGATATGGGAAACTGGTCTCATCAGGAAAATGGCGGCTGTTTTTTCTTGTCCAGTGTTGGGGAATATACAAGATCTAGCAGTTGGCTGATCAGTAATAATCTCGGCGTAAACTTTCTATTTGGGAGAAGTGCATAGTGTTTAGGGAAAATATCTGACCGTCTAGACAGGCTTCCCAATTTATGTAGACATTTGCTTCCCATGTTCTTCTGGTGGGGATTTAATCAGAATTGAAATCCAGCTCATTTGAGGGTTATTAGATTGGGACAGATAATCTATAGCTTTTTACAGAACTGGAACAAGCAATAATCCTGGAAGCCTTTGTACCTCCTCTTACAACATTGGGCCTAGTAATTCCTTTTTACAACTTCATTCCAAATATATTTAGACAGGCTACGGAGAATCTGTAAGGCTGCTTCCTAAAATATATTTAGAATCACAGCCTTAACATGGCTTTGTCCCTTCAGATTTGCAGATTACGGCTGCATGTTGGAGATCAGGGATGTGAAGTTTTTCCCTGATGGGCGTTCAGTTGTTGATACAGTTGGTGTTCGACGTTTTAGGGTCTTAAGCCATGGTCAGCGAGATGGATATAATACGGCAAACATTGAATATTTGGAAGACAAAAAGGTAACTTTTTAGTGTAGTGATTTTTTGTTACCTCATCTATTGAAAAAAAAGTTTTGTGAGCCATCTTCTAAATTACAGGACAGCTCATAATCTAATTTATGGCTGGCTTTTGTATATTCTGTATTTCAAAATACAGTATATTCCTGAGGAGATTTACAAGATTACTGGGCAGTTGTTCAGTTGCCCCCTTTTCCAGGGTAGGGTTTTAAATAAGGAAATGGCATTACAGAAGCATGGTCTAAAGGAAAATAGGAATATGAAAAACAGGTGTTCCATCCAAATTACTTTCTGTTTATACACTGCTCAAAAAAATAAAGGGAACACAAAAATAAGACATCCTAGATCTGAATGAATGAAATATTCTTATTAAATACTTTGTTCATAATCGTGAAAATTGGGTTACTAGCTGATTACTAGGGCTGTTTGCCAATTCATCACTTAGTGGATTGTTTTCTGTTCACAATCAATGATGAAGATTGATGTGGAAAAGTACAGAACATGGGAACTGATATTTTTTAGTACATATATAAAAACTATCTGCAGATTTTTTAATACATATGAATTATTTGAATATTTGAATCACATTTGTGAAATGGCAGTAAAATGCTAATTCTAGATTGTACCATTGTTCATCTAAAATGCCAATCCATTTAACTTCAACTTTCATGAGTAAGGGAGAGCCAGTTCATTATGTATTTCTCTTTAGAGCTGCTTTACATTACACTCTTAGAGAAACCAATCATGAAGTTGAATGTGCTGACAACACAATCACACAAAAATTATAAATGAAAATCAAATTTAGCAACCCATGGAGGTCTGGATTTGGAGTTACACTCAGAATTAACGTGGAAAAAAACATTACAGGCTGATCCAACTTTGATGTAATGTCCTTAAAACAAGTCAAAATGAGGCCCAGTAGTGTGTGTGGCCTCCACGTGTCTGTATGACCTCCCTACAACGCCTGGGCATGCTCCTGATGAGGTGGCGGATGGTCTGAGGGATCTCCTCCCACACCTGGACTAAAGCATCCCCCAACCCCTGGAGAGTCTGTGGTGCAACGTGGCATTGGTGGATGGAGTGAGATATGATGTCCCAGATGTGCTCAGTTGGATTCAGGTCTGGGGAACGGGTGGGCCAGTCCATAGCATCAATGCCTTCATCTTGCAGGAACTGCTGACACACTCCAGCCACATGAGTTCTAGCATTTTCGTGCATTAGGAGGAACCCAGGGCCAACCGCACCAGCATATGGTCTCACGAGGGGTCTGAGGATCTCATCTCGGTACCTAATGGCAGTCAGGCTACCTCTGGCAAGCACATGGAGGGCTGTGCGGCCCCCTAAAGAAATGCCACCCCACACCATTACTGACCCACTGCCAAACCGGTCATGCTGGAGGATGTTGCAGGCAGCAGAACATTCCCCACGGCGTCTCCAAACCTGTCACATTTGTCACATGTGCTCAGTGTGAACCTGCTTTCATCTGTGAAGAGCACAGGGTGCCAGTGGCGAATTTGCCAATCTTGGTGTTCTCTGGCAAGTGCCAAACGTCCTGCATGGTGTTGGGCTGTAAGCACAACCCCAAAATGTGGACGTCGGGCCCTCATACCACCCTCATGGAGTCTTTTTCTGACCGTTTGAGCAGCCACATGCACATTTGTGGCCCGCTGGAGGTCATTTTGCAGGGCTCTGGCAGTGTTCCGCCTGTCCCTCCTTGCACAAAGGCGGAGGTAGCGGTCCTGATGCTGGGTTGTTGCCCTCCTACGGCCTCCTCCACGTCTCCTGATGTACTGGCCTGTCTCCTGGTAGCGCCTCCATGCTCTGGACACTACACTGACAGACACAGCAAACCTTGCCACAGCTCACATTGATGTGTCATCCTGGATGAGCTGCACTACCTGAGCCACTTGTGTGGGTTGCAGACTCTGTCTCATGCTACCACTAGAGTGAAAGCACCGCCAGCATTCAAAAGTGACCAAACCATCAACCAGAAAGCATAGGAACTGAGAAGTGGTCTGTGGTCACCACCTGCAGAATCACTCCTTTATTGGGGATGTCTTGCTATCTGCCTATGCTTTCCACCTGTTGTCTACTCCATTTGCACAACAGCATGTGAAATTGATTGTCAGTCAGTGTTGCTACCTAAGTGGACAGTTTGATTTCACAGAAGTGTGATTGACTTGGAGTTACATTGTGTTGTTTAAGTGTTTTTATTTTTTTGAACAGTGTATATATTTTTACACAGATGGGAGATTTTTAGCAGAAAATGTTAGGAATGCCATTTTCTAATCTGCTTGCAAATTATAGCAGATCTTCTAATGTGTAGCACCAATTCTCTTCTTTAAACTGATGCAAAGGTATTAGCAAGCTCTATCAGATCACATGTTTCTTAAGCATGCTTTGGTCAGTGGCTTTTAATCCTATTTGTATGATTGGTTTCTCTAAGAGTGTAATGTAAAGCAGCTCTAAAGAGAAATACATAATGAACTGGCTCTCCCTTACTCATGAAAGTTGAAGTTAAATGGATTGGCATTTTAGATGAACAATGGTACAATCTAGAATTAGCATTTTACTGCCATTTCACAAATGTGATTCAAATATTCAAATAATTCATATGTATTAAAAAAATCTGCAAATAGTTTTTATATCTGTACTAAAAAATATCAGTTCCCATGTTCTGTACTTTTCCACATCAATCTTCATCATTGATTGTGAACAGAAAACAATCCACTAAGTGATGAATTGGCAAACAGCCCTAGTAATCAGCTAGTAACCCAATTTTCACGATTATCCTATTGAATACTGAACACCCGAAGTTATCTGTGATGCTGTCTTGGAATTTTGGGCTGATTCAAAAGACAGGTGATTTTTAAAAAGTTGCCTGTTTAGGATATTTAAAAGTAACTAAACTTTTTAAAATGGTATTTGATTTTGTTATCCTGTTCATAACATGCATTTATTTAAACCCATTTTCATAACTCAAATTAGGCTGAAGGAGCAGAGTATGAAGAGCTGGTCCGCATTCACGATTCCGTTTACGATCAAGCTGTGTCCTGGTTTACTTGTCTTAAAGACAATATGAAAGCACAAATTTTAAACCATTTTGGACCAATGCCAGGGAAAGAACGTGAGCCGCAGGTAAATACGCAATGGTATATCAGTGCTAAAAATGAATGGGGTACAACAATAAATAACCACAGTGAATAATATATGCAAACAATTCACATAAAGTAAGTGCTTAAGTTAAAATCTGTGAAGCTAAAATGTTCATAAATTGTGTGAAAATACAGAGGATATGAAGTTGAAAAATGCAACTCTGAATATCTGATTTGTCCCTGTCTTTCGTCTCCTTCCCTACCATTTGTTCACTTCTGTTAACACTTCATTGTGGCATAAGCTAGTAGTTCACCTGTACCCCTGCGCCCACCTGTATCTCCAGTCTCTTCCCTGACATTCCAATATGCCTTATTCTATCAGCCTGTTCATTTACCTCCATTCTCCCAGTGCCTTGCCTTCCCTCCTTTCCTCTCTTCTCTGCTCTGATTTTGTGTGTGTGTGTGTGTGGAAATATAGGTATGTTTATAATTGTACTTAAAACTGCTATAAAGAAGATCAGAAATCACTTCTTCTTACCTATTTTCTTTCTCTTCTATTTTTCATTTACTTTTTCTATCTTACACTTTTAGCTGTGATTTCTTTCTTTTTTTCTTCCATGGTCTATATTAATTTAAATATATTAAATATATAAAATTATATTTAATATAGTTTTTCAAACTGTTAATAAAATTATATAGGTAATTAAAGACAGCCACTAGCAAGCAGTTTGCGGAGTTACCTCAAGTGGGCACCATGAATAAATCTCAAGAGTTTAACCCCTTTACAGGTCAAAATCCAATAATGAGAGTATGATAATTAAAAAAAAACAATTATTGTAAAACTCTGCTGGTAGGAATCCATAATTTGGTTTTCAAACACACGCAACTCCTGAAAATATTTTGGTGGCTATTTAAAAAATGCCCTGTTCTCGTTTACTTTTAAATTTAAAAAATTTGATCCCAGTTGCATTAATCCAGTTACATTTTTGTTTTTAAGATTGTATTTTGGGCTACTGTAAGATGCCCTGTATTCCCTACTGGAACCACAGTTCCATTTCATTTTGCTCACATAGACTTGTTTTTACAGCAGCATGTAGACAAATTATATATTAACATTTTAGATTGTTTCCTTGGTTGCATTTACCTTTTCTTAGACTATGAGTCATATGCTTATGTTACAGTACATAATATAATTACTCCCTTAAAACCAATAAGGCAATTCTGCAAAAATAGTAATATAGAACTTGCTTTAATGTTGTGTTTCTTCCTCATTTGTTTCTGTAAATTTGTTGTATTTCTGTGCCCTTTAAATCCCTTTTGAAATTTTCATCATGCCCAAAATCATGGGTAAAAAATTGCTTTTGAGGTAGGGGCTGCCTATTTTTTTGCCCAAGAGTTCCAGGAGGAGAACAATTACGTGCTTTCAGATAAACAGGGTGATTGTGTTTCAGGGTTTTTAATTCCATGGGGGATTTAGTCACTTCAAGGTTGATTAATGTTTCTGAAACCTCAAGTTTTCATACTGCAAATCTGCAGGAAATTATGTTCATAATGCTTGATGGTTTGCCATTGAATTTTGGCACACATCATTCACTGGACTATGTGGGAGCCAGAAAAAGCAGTTTAGAGTTTGGTTGTCATCTGTCTTTATTCTATTGTTTTTAGGCTGGTATTTTTCTGTAATTGCGAAATATCAAGATAATGACAATAATGTTGGAGGACAGTCTTACTACATAAAATAGGAAGGAAACCTATGACTCTAGATCTTGCTGGACTGCAATTTTCTGCATTCCCCTGGCTGAAAGCAATAGATCAGCAGTATCTGGAGAGCTGTAGGTTCACTACATTGTGGGTGACCAAGAACTATTTTCAGTTTCTGCATTCTGTGAATGGCACAGAATGTTGTCTTCTTAGATTTTCTTACAGCTATCAAATGGTGTTCTATCTGCTTGAGTTATGTTACTAAAAACAGTTAATTTATTAATATTTTCTTTACAGAGTAATCCCAGTGGTCCAGCTTGGTACTGGTGGCTGTTGGCAGTATTACCACTAGAGAACAGAGCCCAATTGGCCATTCTTGCCATGACTTCACTTAAAGACCGCCTCATTGCCATTCGCCGCGTATTAATATTTGTGACCCGCAAAAGACCTAGATGACATAGTCTTATTTATGAAGATACATTGAAAACAACTAGTTTCTAATGCTAAGAAAACAGTTGGTAACTGAACAGTTCTTCCCTCTGCTCATTTAAGCATTCATTCTTCTTTGCACTTGCTGGACCCAATAGTTAATTAAGTATTCTGTGCCTCTTGTCCTGGAATAATCTGAGCCTCTTGGAAGTTATGCCACAACAGAGCGTACAGAAGTTGCAGGCATCAACTGAGTACATAATCGCCATCTACTCATAATGAGACAACGAAGTCAGAAGTACTAAAATGTCTACAAATCCCCAATTGACATTTTTATTTCTTTGTAGAAATAGACTTGAAATAGTGGATTAGAAACTGAGATTATATATTGTCAGAATTGTCCTTGTGATAGCCAGTTAAAAAGAAATTCTCAAATGTTCCTCCGGAAAAAAACATCAAAAGCAACTTTTTATCTGCAACATGTGGACAGAAATATCAGAAGTAAATAGGATTGGTAGGAAAAAAGTTCCACTTCCAAACAATATTGTCCAAAAGAGTATCTGATGAACAGCTTTGTGGCTGGTTATAGGCCAATTCCTTGTGTTTGTAATTTGCATGCTGTATGTATTGAGAAAACTGTTTAATAATATATCTAAGAAGATTGAGTCATTCTTCCTTCCCAAACCCTCCTCCCTTCAGAATGACATCAGGATTCTACAGTGAGGAGTTATCTGTGGAAAGCCTTGTAGTTGGGACATGGAACTAATAGCCTCATAATGGACTTATTTTTGTCTTAGGGAAAGCTTCTTCTGCCATTAAATACTTGAGACTGCGAAGCTCCGTGGCTGGATCATGGCCAGCATATTTAGTGTATATCTACACTGTTAATTTCAAGCTCTTCAGCGATTATCTTACTAAAGGCTGTTGAAAAATCGAATCACCATTTCAATTTTATCCTTCTAGTTTTGTCTGGAAGTAACACTTAAGTAAAAACCATCTTTACTCACAACTGCCATACCAGCCTAATAGGTTCTTCTAAGAAAACATAATTACATATACTTTTGAAAACCAAAACCTTAATATTACTTGTTATGTACCGAATACTGTTCGTGCTTGAAGTTCTTGCTGACATGAAAGGAGACACAAATGGAATCCTGTACTGCAAATTTCAATGCAAGTTTAAATCAGATGTAAATATATGTTTATTTTGATGTCTTCGTGTATGTGGTTAACTTTTTTTAAATTGTCAAATTATTGGAAATAGTTTAGCAGTTCAGTTGTAAACATGAAACAGCAAATCAGTATTGCTAATTCAAACTGCTGGGATCTCTGAATTTCCAGAAACAAACGAACAGGACATGAAAATAATATTAGTTCTGGTTTTAGAACATAGTGCAAAGACACAGCAGGCTAAAAATACCGGTTGTAAAAAAAAAATTAATCTGGCAAGAAAATAATGACATACCAAAATATTTCAAAAGTGCCTCCTTTATGAATTAGGAACAGCATGTGCTCTTTTGAAAAAAGCAGAAATTTCATATACAAAAAGTCTAATCATTAAAAAGACTGATTTTACTAAGTGCTATAATTATGTGGGATTAGAAGATTGTCTAAAAAATCTTGACCAGATAGCAGTTTCCTAAGACTGATCAACACAGCCTGAATGTACTGTACTTGCTTCTTCTTGGAATTCACCTTTTGTAGTTAAGTATTGACCTGTGACTGCTCTTTCAATTGTTAACTCTGCAACTTGCAAATGAAGCTCTAATAATTTCTGCCATAGCCTTCCTGCAAGTTCTAATTTCTTTACCAGAGTTTGTAGATTCTCTTTCAAGTATTTTTTAAAAGTATGCACCTGGTCCTGGCTGACCTTGGTTAATCTTGAATACTAAACAAAGTCAGTTCTCATTACTACTTGGATGGGAAATCATCTGGCATCTCTAAAGCTGTATGTGAGACCAGGAAATTTTTTTTAAAAAAAGCATGCCAGAAGGAGACCATGGCAAGCCACTTCAGTATCATGCCAGGAATACCACATGAATTTCTCCAGGTGGTCATCAGTCAAGCGTGATTACCTGTTTCAACATTAAAGCGAGAGAAGGAGGTTCTCACTCCGTTCTCTTTCTGTCCATTCCCTGGGTGCTATCACACTTTCCTTCAACACAGCTGTCTTCCTGTTCATTCACTAGACTAAAAGCTTCCAAGTTTTATCAAGAAAGGTTTTTCAAAAGAAACTTCAGTATTTTTATGCAGGGAACTTGGACCTCTTTCATTATTTTTCACAGTAGTTTTAGCTGTGATTGCTTGGACTGTCTCTGGCAAGATTTGGGTTCACCTCTTGGTTTTCTCTTTCCCTTTTCTAGTTTCTGTTCCTAAGATACTGTTTTGGCACTTCCCATTTTTGAGGCAGAATCCTATATACTATCCCTGAGATTCCCCTCTGAATCTTTTGGATGAGGAATTTTATGAGAGTCTTCAGCATGGTACTTTTGCGCTTTAAAATCAAAAGCCAGACTGATGAGCCTTTCAGCCATCAGAACTTGGTCACCTCGGCTGGAATATTGACATATGTATACGGTAAAAGCCAAAACTTTTATGTTCCTTCTCTTAGGCTGATCAATCTGGCAATTGACAGAGGACTGAGGATTGCAGTGTCCTCATCGTCCAAATGCTTTGCAGATTAATATTCAGAACATCATTTTATTGAGTATAATAGGGCTGCAAAGGCACCCCAGCCACTCCTGTAAAGCACACACACACACACAAACCTGAAATCCATAATAGGTCTGCTTCTAAACAATAGGTGAAGCTTAAACCATTTTAAATTATTTCACCATTCATGAAATATTTGCTACAGTGGCCTTTATCTGCTGTTTTCAAATATCCTTTTTTCCTTTCAGTTGCTAAGGGTGCTTTGGGATTCCGATAAGCTGATGATCAGCAGTTTTCTGCTCTTTGATTCATGCTGCAGTTCATTTTCAATGAAAAGGAATAAGATTTGTTCAGAAAACTGTATGCACTAGTCATACAGTGCCTTGTCTGGTATTGGGTAGCGCCTTAATTTTGCAGCACTAGAATGATTGTACTAACAAAGCACCATAAAAACAAAATCTGGCACTCATGACCAGTTTTTTAAAAATATTTAATGTAGATAAAACTTGAAACAAATATATTCATGTTTTGAAACTAGTTGAAGTGTGTATGTGGATAAGTGTAGATCATTGTACATGTGTAAATATTATTCCTTACTTTTTATACTTAGTAAAACAAAAGTCAGGTATGTGTTACAGCTATGTTTGGCACTTCGTTGCATAAAACCAAATTTTTTTAAAAAAAAATTGCTGCAATGTTTTTTTTGTGTATATTTGGAATATCCATGGGAAAATGTATTTAAGTGACATTTCAAATAAATAATTTCTGTTTGCCATTGTCGTATTTAGTTTTTCTAACTATAAACCATGAGCAGTTTTATCCAAATCAAATATTGCATACATCTCTTGAAAAAAACTACAGGTGAAACTTGGAAAAATTAGAATATCGTACAAAAGTTCATTTATTTCAGTAATGCAACTTAAAAGGTGAACCTAATATATGAGATAGACTCATTACATACAAAGCAAGATAGTTCAAGCCGTGATGTGTCATAATTGAGATGATTATGGCTTACAGCTCATGAAACCCCCAAATCCACAATCTCTGAAAATTAGAATATTGTGAAAAGGTTCAATATTCTAGGCTCAAAGTGTCCCACTCTAATCAGCTAATTAAGCCATAACACCTGCAAAGGGTTCCTGAGCCTTTAAATGGTCTCTCAGTCTGGTTCAGTAGGAAGCACAATCATGGGAAAGACTGCTGACCTGACAGTTGTACAGAAAACCATCATTAATACCCTCCATAAGGAGGGAAAGCCTCAAAAGGTAATTGCAAAAGAAGTTGGATGTTCCCAAAGTGCTGAATCAAAGCACATTAATAGAAAGTTATATGGAAGGGAAAAGTGTGGAAGAAAAAGGTGCACAAGCAGCAGGGATGACCGCAGCCTGGAGAGGATTGTCAGGAAAAGGCCATTCAAAAATGTTGGGGACGTTCACAAGGAGTGGACTGAGGCTGGAGTCAGTGCATCAAGAGCCACTACATACAGACGGATCCTGGACATGGGCTTCAAATGTCGTATTCCTCTTGTCAAGCCGCTCCTGAACAACAAACAACGTCAGAAGCGTCTTACTTGGGCTAAAGAAAAAAAGAACTGGTCTGTTGCTCAATGGTCCTCTTTTCTGCTGGGAGCAACTTTTGCATCTCATTTGGAAACCAACGACCCAGAGTCTGGAGGAAGAATGGAGAGGCGAGATGCTTGAAGTCCAGTGTGAAGTTTCCACAGTCTGTATTGATTTGGGGAGCCATGTCATCTGGTGTTGGTCCACTGTGCTTCATTAAGTCCAGGGTCAACACAGCCATCTACCAGGAGATTTTTTGAGCACTTCATGCTTCCTTCCGCAGACGAGCTTTATGGGGATGCTGACTTCATTTTCCAGCAGGACTTGGCACCTGCCCACACTGCCAAAAGCACCAAAACCTGGTTCAATGACCATGGGATTACTGTGCTTGATTGGCCAGCAAACTCGCCTGACCTGAACCCCATAGAGAATCTATGGGGCAGTGCCAAGAGAAAGATGAGAGACATGAGACTGAACAATGCAGAAGAGCTGAAGGCTGCTATTGAAGCATCCTGGTCTTCCATAACACCTCAGCAGTGCCACAGGCTGATAGCTTCTATGCCACGCCACATTGAGGCAGTCATTGCTGCAAAAGGGGCCCAAACCAACTACTGAGTACATATGCATGCTTATACTTTTCAGATGTCCGATATTGTTCTATGTACAATCCTTGTTTTACTGATTGCATGTAATATTCTAATTTTCTGAGATTGTGGATTTGGGGTTTTCATGAGCTGTAAGCCATAATCCCATCCAACCCCACCCCATCCAATCCAACATCACTCAAAACTAGGCACGCACACCCCTAACTACCTCTATTCCAACCACAACTGGCCTTAAATGCAAGCTACTCAATGCAAGAAGCCTTGTAAATAAAATACCTGAATTTCTCCTCTTACTAAATACTAAATACATTATATTTGTCTGTGAAACATGGCTCAACGCATCTCTCCCTGACTCCATTACCACAGTAATAGACTATCATGTTTACCAATCAGATCATGAAATCCGTAGAGGAGGTGGTGTTGCTATCTTCTATAAAAAGTCCCTACATCTAAAAAACATCCAAGTTACCCAGGAGCTTGCTATTTCTGAGACCATCGTCTGTGAACTGTCCTTAAATATCACATTTCAGTTCTTACTATGTTACAGAGCCCCTGATTATGACATCGAACATGCAAACAAGCTAAATACACTACTAACATGGGCAGCATCCTACCCACACACTTTTATCTTTCTTGGTGACTTCAATCTACCTCATATTAACTGGACCCTTAACGAATGTACAACTGAACCCACACATGCAACCTTCTACAATGCAGTAACAAATCTGGGACTAGAACAACCAGTAACCAACAACACTAGACTTAACAACTGCCTCGATCTCATCTTTTGCAATAGTTTGAATTCAATTTATGGAGTACAAATTAAAGAACCCTTTTCCAACAGTGACCACAACATGATTGACTTTTGTCTCAACATACGTCCACACAAAAATCATCACAATGATGGAATCCCCAATTATAACTTCAAAAAAGGCAACTATGATCTTATAAACAACGATCTCTCATCCCTTGATTGGCAATTTCTATTCACTGGATGCAATACTGTAGAAGACCATTACAACATATTTTTACTTGAAGTCAAAAGAGTCATCAAACTATATGTACCAATAACAACTCCCAAAACCAGAAAAAACAAATTACCCATAACAATAAGGAAGCTTCAATCCAAAAAGAAATCACTTTGGCGGAAAAACAAATCTGGTAACGTTGCCAACTTCAAAAGCCGATACAAAAATTTATGCCACCAGATAAAGACTGAATGCACCAATTATCACATTAAACAAGAAGAAAACCTACACACCAATTCCACCTGCGCTTTCTACAATTTTGTAAACAACAAACTAAAAGACTCAAGGTCCATCCCACCCCTGTAAGGACCTAATGGTAAAGACTGCAACGACGACACTATTAAAGCCAACCTCTTTAACACATTCTTTGGCTCAGTATTTGTAAACAGCAACGGATCATGCCCAGTATTTCCTAGTCGAACCATAGACAACTACAATGATCTAATACATATCGATTTTACAGAAGACAATGTTGAAAAGCACTATGCAATCTAAAACCATCTCTATCTATTGGACCGGACGGAATATGTGCCTACTTCTTAAAAAAGCTATCCACTGCCATAGCAGAACCTCTAAGCATAATCTTTGAAAAATCTTTCAGGACCAGTTCCTTGCCCAAACTATGGTCACAAACCACGGTCATCCCTATCTTCAAAAAGGAGACCCCAGCCTAGTTGAAAATTACAGACCAATCTCTTTATGCTGCATCACCTGTAAAGTCATGGAATCAATTATTAACCAATCCATCATCCTCCACTTAGAAACAAACAACCTACTCTCTAATAAACAATTTGGTTTCAGGAAAAAACTGTCATGTAATCTGCAACTCTTACACTGCAAAAACATATGGACTACACAACTCGATCAGAGCAAAGCAATAGATGCAATCTACATAGACTTCTGTAAAGCCTTTGATTCAGTGGTACACGACAAACTGCTCCTAAAACTAAAATCTTATGGTATCTCTGGACACCTGCATAACTGGATAGAAGTATTCCTGTCAAACAGACAACAAATGGTCAAAATTGGGAACGTCCTATCAAATTCTGTACCTGTCAACAGTGGTGTCCCCCAAGGCAGTGTTCTAGGACCAACTCTTTTCAAACTCTACATAAATGACCTCT